AGCCGAATATAGTAATTAATAATTATATAATGTATTATAGAGTATTCGAAGATTTTCTACTTATGCTCTTTTTTATGTAGATGACGTTCTAAAAGAAAGTATGATTCATAAAACATAAAGAAATCTTACAGGTTATATTTTCTTTAGTTATTAACGATAACTAAATGCGCACAGCATATTGTATTGTAAAATTAAACTTTGATATAGCATTCGAGACGAAAAGAGCCAAAAATAAACTCAATTGTGAAATATTGAGAAATATTTTATTTATCTTAAGATTGTTATTTATCGTAGATGATAAAAAACAGCCCATAGCGAATGAGTCCTAATCACTATAGATAGATATCAAATAGCGGAAATAAAAAAACTCTTGTAATATAAATAATGCCTTATTTGTAATTTAACAACTTCTAGAAGCACAAATAATAACTATCACTAGTTAAGTTTAAAATTAATATAAGTCTTTACTATTTCGGTTAGAAAAAGTTGGTTGAGTGTGTATATATGTACCCAAAAACATTTAAATTTCATTGATTATGTAGAAAGCTCAGTTTTATGTACAGAGATCCATTGTCAGTTGTGCCGAAGAATAGACCGTTTTTGGGTCAAATTGAAGTATCAATATTGAATAAATTAGCTAAAAGTTTCCTTACTAATTAATAAGAACTATAAACAATCCTATATGAAAGCAGATTTTTTAGATTCAATTTAAAAAATATTTCAATTATTACACTTTTGAATACTTTAGATGAAGAGATCTTTACCAATATAGAGTACCCACTTAATGAAGATGTTTTTTTAAAAATATTTTTTCTATTAAAATCTCATATGTGATGTTTCATAAATTAAGTACAGATGAAACAATTAGACAAAAAACAACTTTTACTTGTAATTTAATTGTGGTTAGTTAAAGATTTTTATAAAGTGATCTTATTGACACTGAATGCACTGAGTAAACTAGTGGTGCATGAAATCGTGCCGTAAGGCAAATTGCTGGAACTTACGGTACCGTAATGAATATTCGAAGAATATTAAATGCTTTCAAATAGATTATTATAAATACTGCAACTTTTATTATTCGTATTATATAGATAAAATATAAGAGCTTATAAATTAGACGACTGCGTTTATAATGTTTATATGAAAAGTAAATAAACAAAACTTGATCAAGCGGAGTTAGAATGAAGGAACTTATTCATATTTCTAAGAATTATATAAAGTGAATTTTAAAGTTGCAATTGAATTAAATTAAAATTTATTTTAAGTATATAAGTAAGTTTTTAAAATTATAGCTAGAATTAAATTCCGAATCGTTTTTGATATCATATGAATTGAAATTATTTTTTGTTCACTTTTGAAGAAAATATAAAAAATAGCCTTTCCCAAATCTATTCTTCGATTACGAATGTTTTAATTGAATGTTTTTTGAATCATTCAAATATGATGCTCTGTTTTCTCAAAAACTTAATTTCCATTTTCTGCACTCTTTGCTTCGTATCTCCGAAACGACTGGACCGACCTTTCACAAAAAGTAATCAGCATTAATGCTTATATAGAGAAATCGCACTTATATGTAGAATCAAAAAGTTTTTCAAATTTTTGAATAATTCAAATCGCTTGAGCGGTGCTCGCGAAAACGTCTACGAAAGTTGTATCCACACATACATACACATAATAATAATATAAGGTTGTCAAATATCTCCCTTCCGCCTTTTTGTATATAACCAAGAGCAAAAAAGCGGAAGGGAGATATTTGACAACCTAATATTAATTTATTTCTAAGGTATGCCAAAATCCTCAGGAATCTTTGAAACGTAAAAATATGCAAAAATTGTCATTTTATATTTATGGACGAATACTATAACTTACCCTAAGGAAAGTTAATAAATATAACACACCGTAATTGAAAAAAATGTGTATGACCAAAATTTGAACTTGTTCTTAGCCGTTTTCCCAAAAACTCATTAAGGACTAGCATTGATTACTTTTTCGAGAACCGAGCAAAAAATTTTGTTCGCATTTTCATAAAATAATTCTAAACCTTTGAAAAATAAAAACTGTTTGAAAGATATCAGTTGGAAATCGTGCAGATTGTTTTGTAGAGATTGGCTTGTCCGATTTTTTATAACTAATTGTTGAAATGTTTTGATCATATAGTTCATAGTCTTAATAAATATAATAAAACATTATACAATAAATGGTTTATAAAAATCATTGGAGTTTGGAATAATGAGCCCCAATTTTAAAAACCACTTCGTGGGTGTAGATGCGTCTTCGTTTTTTGTTTGATAATGTAAAAATAGATTACCTCTGTGTCAAATTTAACAAATTTAATTTAAGATTTAATAAATTGGAACAAATTTGAATAATATACAATAGTTCCTTACATTATAAGTCTCTACAAAAACTCGGTTTATGCAACTTTCCTTAAGGCAAAATGCTACTTACACCTATTTTAAATATGAATTGTTTAATTATTACCAATATTCTAATGCTTATTATTATGATATTGGAAATATGCTTTGCATCACGACCTTGCAATTTGTAATTCTTCGTAATTTTATTATAAGTTTGTTTTTCTCTTAAATTATAAAACATTAGCGATTATTTAAATTTTTGTCTGGATAAATAAAAGGCATTTGTTGTCATTGTCTAAACTTATTTACGTTGGTGTATCTACCTTATCAAAATCCATGCATATTTGCATACAAAATTAGATTAATAATTATATGAGTGAGGTACATAGCAATACAACAGATATATCTTCTAGAATACTTTTTATGAACAGTATTAAAGTACGAAAAAAATCTTCCTTTAATAGATTTTCATTTAATGCAGTGTATGCACCTTTTCATTTTTAAATATAATTGTTTATGGATATATTCACGAAAATATTTGTTTTTTCGTATACAATGTCATTTGCAAATATCACGACGCGATTCTCTGTTATAAATGAAGGACATTGCTTTTCAAAATAAAATCGTTATTGTCTTACGATTTCTTTAACCTTACAATAACTTTAACCTTCAATGCACTCTTGTACAATGCCTTGTTGTCGTGCAATTACAAATTCTATTAAACTTATTGCATATTTGTATCAAATGCAAATGGGCGGATTAGTTTAAACATTTTTGTGACATTCATTAGATGGAATTTAATGATAACGAATTTGAAAAAAATTTAAGTTTAAAAAAGTCCAACATAATTAGTATATGCACAATAATTGTAATCGTTATAAGTTTCTAAATATTTATTTACGGCGAGGTGGAAACTTCGCTAAAATACTAGTATTTTAAAATTTATGCGAACTGATTCTAAGAGCAAAGGTTCTCAGTATTATTTTTATTACTATTGTTATTTAAATCTATTTCTTTCTTTCTAACGTCCATAAGGATGTTTTATGGACCCCTGACATAGCCAGGAAATCATGTTTTCAAGTCATTCTGAATCGTTTGAGAAACGAGGTAGGATAAAGTATGTTTTTTTAACTTCCCGTAGGGAAAGTTATAGTAATCGAAAAAAAAATCGAAAATGAAAAATTTTATATATCTTTACGTTTCAAAACCTTCTGAACATTTTGACATATCTTAGAAAAAATGAATGTATGTGTGCGTGTGTGTGTATGTGTGTGTATGTGTGTGTGCGTGTATGTATGTGTGTGCGGATACAAATTTTCGTCGACGATTTCGGGAAAACGGATGAAGCGATTTGAATAATTGAAAAAACATTCGATTTGTATTGATAAGGAGACGTGCTGATTAGTTTTTGGCAAAGGCAGGTCTACTCGTTCCGAAGATATGGGGCAAAAAGTACCAAAAACGGTAACTCAGTTTTCAAGATAACGGAGCGTCCGATTTGAATAATTCAAAAAACATTTCACTTGTATTAACAAGATGAAGAACTGATCAAATTTTCATGAAGGCAGGTCTAGCGGATTCAGAGATCTAGTAAAAAAAGTAAAACAAAATGCCATTTGGCGGTCAAAAATGATCATTAGACATATGCGCATCAAATTATCAGATATTTTATAGAGATTTTAACAAAAAGAATAAATTTTGTTTACATTCCTATGGGTTCCGTACCAATGTTTATCCGTTAGACGGCGACGCGGCGCTTGCGCACTTTGATATTTCGTCTCTATGCAGTTAAAGCAGTACGGGAAGTTAAAGAGTTCAGAATTTCCAAAATATTTCAAAATAAATTTTTCTTCAAAAAGTTTTTTTT